TTTCTTTGACTGATGGGGACACTTTTAGCCTTCGAAGGAGGCTTTTAAAAACAGGGAGCCTCTGCAGAAAAAGTACGGTACAACACCCCAAATCCACAACATAACAAAAGGGAGAGAAAACCAAGAAGGGGAGAGTCCCTTCCTCTCTGCATCTCCTTTTTTAATATAAAAATTATTTATTTTAAAATGCCTTTCCCCCTAATAATAATAATAATAATAATCCTCCTGTTACTTTGGGGAAGGGGGATTATTTTGATTTATTAGGGGAGAAGAAAAGAGGTGGTTTCAGCCCTTGTCCTGATAATCGCATTTTTAAAAAGTATTCAAGGCAGATAAGGGAAACCACCACTAAAGAATTTTTTAAAAAAATAAAACCATGAGAGATGGCAGATTGCTGATTATAATGCTGATTATTGGCACAATAAGCAGCAAGTGTGAAAAAAGAGTTTTAAAAGTCAGGCTTTTTCGGTCTGGTCATGGGCGCATCTACACTAGGGAACTAATGCAGTTTGACCTCACTTTAAGTGGCTCCATCCCTGTGGAAACCTGGGATTTGTAGTTTTGCAAGGTCTTTTTTAGCCTTCTCTGGGTGCATCTACATTGGAGAAATAATGCAGTTTGACCCCACTTTAACTGCCATGGCTCCATCCTACAGAATCCTGGGATTTGTAGTTTGATGAGGTACCTACCCTCTTTGGCAGAGAAGGCTAAAGGCTTTTTGTTGTTGTTAACTACCTTCACGTTGGTCTTGACTCATAGCGACCCTATGGATAATATCTCCAGGTCCCCCTGTCCTCTCCTGCTCTGCCCAGCTCCTGCGAACTCATATTCATGGTTTCTTTAATAAAGTCCATCCATCTAGCCTGTGGCCTTCCTCTCTTTCTACTTCCCTCCACCTTCCCCAGCATTATTGTCTTTTCCAATGATTCATGCCTTCTCATGATGTGTCCAAAGTACGTCAGCCTCAGTCTTGTCATCTTGGATTCTAGGGATATCTTTGGCTTGATCTGCTCTAGCACCCTTTGCTCCATATGTAATTCATTTTATCATCTCTTTTGTATAGTTCTTCTGTGTATTGCATCCAATATTCTGTGTATTCCTTCCTGGTCTTGAATTATATTATTTTTATTGTCCTAGTGTGTCCTGGCCCTTGGTTTGAACTTTCCTTTGATTTCTTGAATCATGTGGAATAGGTCTCATTCTTCCCTTTTGTTGTTGCCTTCTATTTCTCTACATTTGTCGTTGTAATAATTTTCCTTATCTTTGCACACTAGCCATTGTACTGTTGTGTTCATGGTTCTTAGTTTATTCCTATCTCCTTTTTGTTTTGTTTCTCTTCTTTCCTTTATTGCTTGTAAAGGAGGCTTTGCAGAACTAAATATCCCGAGATTCCATAGGATGGAGCTACCGCACTTAAAATGGGGTTAAACTGCATTATTTCTAGTGTAGATGCAATTTTGAATTATAGTTTTATACCACTCTATTTTTATTATTATTACAGCTTTATTATACCACTTTAACGACTATGACTCTAGCCTACAAAACTCTGGGATGTGTAGTTTGGTGAGGCAGCAGAGCCTTCTGACACACTAGACTAAATACCTTGCCAAACTACAAATCCCAGGATTCTGTAGGTTAGCATCATGGCAGTTAAAGTGGTGTAAACTGCTTTATTTCTGCAGTGTGGAACAAATTATCAGGAGGGGTTAGAAGCAAATCTGCCAGGATCAGAACTGGGGTTATAGCTCAAAAACGTTCCTTTTTGAGGGGACAAGGACTCCACAAAACCCAGCATGGTGTTTGGGTGTGGACTACAACTGGAGATCAGAGTTTGAATCCCGGCTCAGCCATGGAAATAAACTGGGTGAACCTGGGCAAGTCACATATTCTCAGCCTCAGAGGATGGCAATGGAAAAACCCCTCTGAAGAAACTTTCCAAGAAACCGCCATGATATGTTTGCCATATATTGGAAATGACTTGAAGGCACACAACAACCACCTCCTCCTTAAACCCCTTAGCCAGGGATTCTGGGACTTGTACTCCCCAAAAATCAACATATTTAAATTTGAGTTTGTTTCTACTATAGTGTTATGTTCTCTCTCTCTCTTTCTCTCTCTCACACACATATACCATACACCTACACCACAACCATTTTCAATGCAAAAGGAAATTGTGAGTCAATTGAGGTCGGGAGGCAGAGAGGAAATGCTGCACAAATAACGAAAGTTATTTGAATCATCAAAATCACTAAAGGGTGAGTTGTCTTGTAAAATGGCAAGTGTGTCACCTTACAGGGCACAGCAAGGATGGCTTTTTCAGAGGCCAAACACTTACAGAAAGTGCTAAGTAAACTTGGAAATCTTGTAATTTACACCTTCTTTTAAATCTATTTTAGAAACCAAGATTGAGCAGGTATGCCTGCCTTCCTCTGAGGCTGAGAGAAAATGACTTGCCCAAAGTCACCTATGGCTGAACCTGGATTCGAATCCTGGTCTCCAGAATCATAGTCTGAGGCTCAAACCACCATGCCACACTGACTCTCTCTAGGCCTTAAGCATTAAATGCATTGCATCAAAAGACTATCATTCCATCATCTTTGAAAAGACTGTTCTTCCAGAATCCTTTTCCAAAAGACTATCCTTCCAGCATCCTTTTCAAAAGACTATCATCCCAACATCCTGGAAAGACTATCCTTCCAGAATCCTTTTTAAAAGACTATAATTCCATCATCCTTTTCATAAGGCTATCCTTCCAACATCCTTTTTAATACTGTAATTCAGCATTCTTTTCAAAAGATTATCCTTCCAGCATTCTTCCCAAAAAAACTATCCTTCCAGCATCCCTTTCAAAAGACTATAATTCCAGCATCCTTTTCAAAAGGCTATCCTTCCAGCATCCTTTTAAAAACTGTAATTCAGCATTCTTTTCAAAAGACTATCCTTCCAGCATCCTTTTCAAAAGACTATCATTCCAGCATCCCGGTACCTGTCTCTTTTTGTCTTGTGGAACTCAGTAGCTGCTCCAAAGTTTTTGCCCTTTCTGGAATAATGAAATAAAAGGAACTTTTGCATTTCAGCCAGCCTGACTTCCCATTTCCAGTGATGTCCTCTCAGTCCTATACTTGCAGGTAACCCCAGCATCCTCAGGAACCTGGTCTGCTTTAAGTCCTGCTGTCGGATCTCGTGTCAGATCAACTGCTCCTGGGAGGTGCCAGTGGGCATAGTGGAAACCATCTCCGTCCTCAACGTCTGGTAAGACAGGCAAAAAAAGTGGGCAAAGCCATGGAGAATGGTGTCAGTGGGTAGGAGGGATCCATCACCCTTTTGGCCTAAAACAGCTGTTAATATAGTTAGTTGGTGGGGCTTGGAAATGTTGATCTCTTGGACTCAGCTCCCATGATTCCCATCCAATGTGGGTGCTGGATTCTGGGAGTTATTGTTTGTGATTTGGGCTTTTTTAAACAGAGGCTGGATGGGTATCTCCTAGAAGTGGTGAATGCCTACATGGCAGCATAGCGGTTTGAGCATTGGACTATGACTCTGGAGACCAGAGTTTGAATCCCAGCTCAGCCATGGACCCCCAAACCTGGGAGACCTTGGGCCAGTCACATTCTTTCATCCTCAGAGGAGGGCCATGTGGCAAGCCCCCTCTGAAGAAACTTGCCAAGTAAAACACCCTGATGGAATGTGAAGGCACAAAACAACAAAAACAACAATGAGGATAGTTTAAGTAATTTATATCTCATCTTTCTCCTTGTACCTGATCTGGGGGAAGAGCCCCCATTATCTATGATTTTGAAATATAGGGAGAGAATTTAGGGCTTTATACTAGCACTTGAAATTTCAAGAGATCTTCGCTGAACTTTTCCACCTATTTAAAATCTCCTAGTACTTTTCCAAGGGCAGTCCCACATAGATCATATTGTAGTAGTCTAGTCCAGATCTGTACTGAACTGAGGGAGGGGTGAATGCAGCCCCAAAATAAATGGAAAATGGAAAATAAAAGAATAACAAAACCCAGGGTCCGCTCCCATAATTCCCTGACAGATGTAAAAACTCAGGCCTACAACAGGGTATACAATTCCTTTCTATGAATTACTAGTATAATGTCCAAATAGATGCATTGTATTATATTATCAAAATAGGAATAACAGATGGAAACACTATAGGAATTAACCAAAATGTGACAGAAACCATGCACGAAAAATACCATACTGTATAGCAGGGGTAGGCAACCTTTCCCCTTTAAGGGCCGAGGGACTTCAGCTCCCAGAATCCCAGGAGCTATTGGCCAACATGGGACTATTGGCCAACATGGCTGAGGCTTCTGGGAGCTGAAGTCCCTCGGCCCTTAAAGGGGAAAGGTTGCCTACCCCTGCTGTATAGAATAATCAGTAGCCATGCTAAATGCTCTATACTTAGATGAAGCCGTCACTCCAATCAGTCAATTTTATCCGAGATGGGATAAAGACTATGTGCCAAAAGTGTGCCACACTGCAGAAATAATCCAGTTTGAGACCCCTTCAACTGTCCTAGCTCAATGCTATGGAATCCTGGGAATTATAGTTTTGTGAGACATTTAGCTTTCTCTGTCAAAGAGCTCTGGTGCCACCACAAACTACAATTCCAGGACCCCCTAGCACTGAGCCAAGGCAGTGAAAGTGGCCTCAAACTGGATTATTTCTGCAGAGTGTTTTGGACCTGTGTGATAAATAAATCCCACAGGACCAATCCCACAAAATAGATTGTGGTAGAGAATATCCTATTACTGAAAATATATAAATATAAATATATGTCTCAAGAAACCAAGAAGGATTCCTAAAGAACTTTCAACTGAGCTAAGTTTCAAATGGAGCATGTATAAGAAATGGAAAAAGGGGGAAATCACCAAAGAGGAATTCAAACAAATAGTGATCACATGTAGGAGTAAAGTCAGAAAAGATAAACCACAGAATGAGCTCAGACTTGCTAGAGAGGTTAAGAGCAATAAAAAGGGGTTTGGGGGGTACGTCCATAGAAAAGGAAGAAGAAGGAAATGATAGGGCCACTGCATGGGGACGATGAAGAAATGCTAACAGGGGAGAGAGAAAAGGCAGAACTACTCAACACCATTTCCTCAGTCTTCTCAGAAAAGGAAAATAGAGCAGAAGAGGCAATAGGGGGAACACAGCACAGAATAAGTAAAGAGGTAGTACAGGAATACCTGGTTAATCTAAATGAATTTCAGTCTCCAGGACCAGATGACCTATATCCAAGGGATGGCAAATGCAATCTCAGAGACATTGGCAATAATCTTTGAGAACTCCTGGAGAACAGGAGAAGTCCCAGCAGACTGGAGGAAGGCAAACGTTGCCCCCATTTTCAAAAAGGGAAAAAAGAGGATCTTAACAATTATTGTCCAGTTAGCCTGACATGAATACCAGGAAGAATTCTAGAGCAGA